GACCAAGGAGAGGGAGTGGTCATGGTGAAACATTGAAACATTTGGTATCTCTGAAAAGCCCTGAATGAGCTCTTTTACAGGACATCCAGACTTACAACTGTGACATGTGAGGGCATAAAAATAATGTCCTCTACAGAGGACAAAACTCCATAACTGATTGTCAGGAGGATAGAGAAGAATCTGGGCTTTCAAAAAGACACAAAAAGTTTGACCATGACTTTGTCTGCTGGGTTTTTAGAAATGCCTGAAATAACAGTTTCAAATATTTGAGGAACCATTGATATACTATTTTATGATCATCAATTGTGTTGTTTATTGTAAATCATTTTCATTTTTTTTACATGGCCCCTGTAAAAGACATGAGGATTGATATATTCCTATTAAACTTTGACAAGATATTACACCAATTACATTTTTTTTGTATTACAAATTGCCCCAGAACATTAATATGCACAACAATTTAGGAAATTAAATATATATATTTTAAGAAATGAATACTTTTATTCAGCAAGGACACAATAAATTGATCAAAAGTGACAGTAAAGAGAACATTTGAAACGGAAGACTGAAGGAAGGGCTACAAAAATTATTTTGCCATCACAGGATTAAATTACATTTTAAAATATATTCAAATAGAAACATTTTAAATTGTAATATTTCACAATATTACTGTTTTTTTGTGAATTCATCATCAAATTACCACAGCCATTGTGAACATAAGAGACTTCCTACAAAAACAAAAAAAATCTTACAGACTGCAAACCTGATTGGTAGTGTATAAGGTTGACAAAAGTTGATCAAACTGTATTCTTATGCTTCATGGTTTAAAAAAAAAAGATGACAACATTAAATTAAATTTGTCCCTTAGAATGCAGTTAGAAGATAGGGCTGGGTAGTCAGCAAAATTGTTTATGCATTACTCTACATCAATCATGCTTCTCAGTATAAACCTACATAAAGGGTTGAGAAACATAAATTGAATGAGCTGAATAACTGAAACAGTAAAAGAAACCTTCCAAAAGTTTGAATGGAATCAAAGCAAACAAGTGGAGGACCAGATATAATGACCACAGACCACACTTTTACCCACTTAAACTCACATACAACATGAAATACTGCACACAGGCACACAAAAGACCATCAACATTAAAGGCACAGCCCCAGCTCTCATAGAAACCAGCATGGTTAGATTGGACAACATGTACTATGAGTGCTTCTGCATGCTCAGCCTATCTACAGTCAATGGCGGTGTACGTTCCTGCAGTGCATCCAAGCAGAAGCAATGCAGCAGTTACAGGGCATTCCAGCAGCATGCACCTCACCACAGCCAAAAACTTACTGCACGGCTACTGAATACTCTTGAATAAGAAAAATAAAATTGTATTCTGGTGATTCACTCAGCAACCACATGTGATGGATATAGGAGGGAAACAAAATTGGGAGGGAATGGCAATTCAACACTGAGATCACAAATGCTTTGTCACATTATTATTTTGAAAATGTAACAGAACATAAAATACAGTATATGCTACAAAAAACTGACCTTTTATGAATCTGTTCCATATTACAATATGTTGTCTTATAAAATAACACTTCCTTC